TTACAGAAATTGGTCAATTCAAACTTTTAAAGTAGTACTGCTTGTATTATTAGCAAGAATAAAATGTTTATTTTTTTATAGTTTCAGTATTTTCTGCATAAAAACAGTGCTTCATGTGCAGATAACTAACTTTTAACAGTGGGATCATGGAAAGAACAACTGGTCATCTGTTAATTTATTCATGTTATTTCATGATCTTTTCTGGACTTTTTGCCTGACTTCAGAGAACAGTAAAAATAACCCAATACTTAATCCATCAATATTTAATCCATGTCCATGTCTGTTGATGTAGGAGCTGAGAGTCAAGGCGGATTCAGCAGGTCGACTTCTGACAGGTGAGGGCAGGTGTGAATGAAATTTAAAATGTTTAATCAAATTATTATTTATTTTGAGTACATTCTAGTCAGCTGTGTGAACTTAATGAAAGAAATTATGGATCTTGTTGTGGAATACTTATGTCTATATCACCTTGACACTGTCCACTTTTCATATCTTGTGATATCCTCCGGGACGTCAGCATCAAGTTGACCTACTTTATGAGACAGGTTATGATTGGTTGTTCATTATCACATGATGTTAGCTGACAGTATATCATCGCATGGCCGCCAATGACGGGCAGGCCCACATCCAACAGACTTYGTGATTTTCTGTTCCATGTCTGCCCATTAATAAATGACTTTATGATCATACCCGCAAGACAATTTGTCTTTTTAACACCCTTTCACCGTGTTTCTGACCATCTTGCCTCGACAGTTTGGCGTCACGACTACGGAAGCCTTCCAGGGACCGGAGCGGCGCGCGCAGCAGCCTGTTTGTTTCGGACGGGACCGCGAACATGGCGGCAGCAGATGCTTCGTCTGCTCCGTGTTTTTGTGTCCGTCATGCGGACGACTGCTGCGGGTTGCGCTCCGGCACTGGGGCTAAAAAGAACCTGTCTGGACGGAAGCACGGTGAGCTAAACATTTTTTTTACGCTTTCGGAAATAAATAAATAATTAAATAAATAAAGCGAAAGTGCTACAGCTAACTTCCAGGCCTAGCACACACTAAAAGTCTAGTTATCAGGTGCCTGTTCTGTGTGCGCTCGAGGGCTGACTGATTTTTAGCCGAGGTAAGGTCCTGGGAGCGTTTATATTCCAGACCGAGTTCTTAAAACAGGGAGGTTTGACTTTACTGTTTTAAAGGTAGGCAGTTAGCTCAGGCTAGCCGCTGCCATTTGCTATTTCAGGAGTAAACAGGGTAGGCTAGAAACTCAGTTTGAAAAGGCGGCCGCCGAATTTCCACTTTTTGAGGAAGTTATATGTAGTGCGTTGGTAAGCACGACTTGAAAGTGTTGGGACACAGTTCGTCCGCCACTCGGCCCTCGGGAGCGCTGGACAGCCCTTGCGCAAAAGCTATGGATCCGCCATGAGCCACAACGGGTGAGCTAACGTTTCCATTAGCACGCTATGCTATACAGCTATGGCTAATATTTCAGGCCGCACACATTGAAATTATAAATTTTAGACGCTGATCTGGTCTTTCTGAGGCTGTAATGACAACTAGCTGAGTGTAGGTGTGGGAACGCTTCATTCCGCACCGAGTTTAAAAGCAGAGAGGTCGGCTTTCTGGTTTTT